CCTGAAATCTTGCGGCGCCTCCCCCTCCCCTGGTATACTCTCCTCCGGCCGCGCCCCTCTAGGTCGCTTCCACCTTCCTCGGGTACTTTACCCAACACCTCCAAAGCTTGCTCTAGCCGGTCCACCGCACTAGGAGTAAGGGGGATAGCAGAGGGAGGAGGAGAGGGTCTGTGATTTGCGGGGGGGGGGAGGGGGGAGGGTGCGTAGGAGGAAGAGGGGGCGGGGCTGGCCAGGACACAGGCGCTAAGAAGATAAATGGGATTTAAGGCGCGCAGATGGAGAGCTGAAGCCTGCCACTCTGTTGGAAAGGCCGAGTGGAGATTAGGGCCCGGCACGGGGAAGTGTGGTGCCCTCCGGGCAGAGGAAGGCAACTTGAGACCCTCCAGGGGAGGAGATGAAGCTCTGGGTTAAGCCTGGCTTTGCGGGGGGGAAAGGAAGCGAGCTCGAGCCCCCTGGCAGACCGAGAAGACCCGGCTGGGAGGGGGCGCGCGCCGGCCGGGCTGGGGCTGGAGGCCGACGGGGAGTCCTGGCCACTGATCCTGGGACCAGGGTTCCCAGATCGGCTAGCTGGCCCGAAAAAGACCCCTTCCTCTCCGGATTTGCTGCCAGAGAACTCAGTAAAATGCGCCTGTTGCCGGGTTTCCAGGTGGCGCTGGTAGAGGAGACCCGGGGACTTAAGTCCCGTTGCACACCTGCGTGCTGATCTTCAAGCCAGCGAGACGAGAAGGCAGATACAATAAATAAACCAAGAGGGAATAAACCTTGAGGGAAACGCAACCCTTGCCAGTTCCTGGGGAAACATCAAAGGCCCTAGGAAGTACCCCGCAGAGGGAGCCGAGGTCGCTGGCCCGCAGGACTTCGTGCTGGCCCGGCCCCACCTGGCAGCGTGGCAGAGGCTCCTGGCGTCCTGGCCCTTCATTGTTAACCTGGGTTTGGGGACCCGGAGGGAACAATGTTGACCAATGTATCTCCCTCCCCCCCACCCCCCAAAGATTTCTACTCCTCTTTTAGGAATGAAGTATCCCCCCTGGCTAGAGGGTTTGTACTGAGCCAGATCTAAGAATATGTTCCCTTCTGTGTTGGCATCCTCGGGTGTGCAGCTCTCCATAAAGAAATTCAAAGTCATGAGTCTTTGGAAGTCTTAGATGTCACACCAGAGCTTGTCCTTTTACACGGAGCTGGAGGAGAAAAGTCTTACAAACTGTGCTCTTCACTTCCAAGTTGATAACAAACCCATGTCCAGGAGACAGGCCATGTGACTGTCCCCAAGGCTACTAGTCTCAAAGGTAGCAGAATCCTAGACCCTTAAGATCAGAGCCCCTAGAGGTCATCTAGGCCCCGCCTCCATTCTACACAGGAATCTGCCTTCTACATCCTTGGCTTGAACTCCACCTGTGACAAAGGGCATCTACCTTACCACCAGCCCAGAAGTTGGATAGCTCTTTTTACGAGAAAGGGATTTCTTATATCAGACCTCAGGTGGCACCCGGAACCAAGTTAACTATTACCATGAAGACACCTCCCATGTTGGTGTTGTGGTCTTTCCCACTTAAAAATGATTCTCCCTGCTGTAGAAATTGGAAGTAATACTAACCATTAATATTATGGCTAGAATTGACACAACACCTCCCATGTACCCGACCCTCTTTGAAGGGCTTTATAATCCCACTAACAACCATACCAGGTAGTTACTGTTATCAGCATTATCCCCATTTGACAGATGAGGAAACTGAAGCATGTAAAATTAGGTAACCTGCCCCAAAGCATGCAGCTCCTGAGAGCCAGAGCTCTGTCCAGGTGGTCTGGTTCCAGAGTCCAGACTTTTAAGAAGACAGGTGGAGAGCAGACACAGCAGTGGACCAAGAATCGTGAGATCTGGGGGTTTAATAGTAGGCTCTGCCTACAGTGCATCTTGGCAAAATGAAGGGGCCGGACGAAATCATCGCTAAGTTTCAGGGTTTGCTTTCTCTTTATTATCTAATAAAACAGCAACGTCTAATCCAAGCCATTTTTGCTCTGAATCTGCCTTTTCAAAGACCTGTACAAACTGTCCATGGCGAATTTTGCAAGCTTGAGTTTCAGCCTTCTTGCTGATATCCTCAGCAAGCACCCATACCACCTCCTCATCCCTGGCCCCGGGCCTCCCTTCCATCTTCTGCAGATGGCCATGGGCAAGTTGGAAGCTGGCTTGGCTTCTTCATAGGCCCCTTTGTTTCTTCTTTGCAAGGATTACCTTTGATTATATTGTTATATTTTACTTTTGAGGGCTTCCAAACGCTCTGGATTCTCAGGCTATCGAGATAAAACCTTACTTCTTGAGATCTACTTGTTACAAATCTAGGGCACATGTTAGACCCGACTTATTCCCTTCCTTTGCTAGTCAAACCACATCCCCCAAGGTTTTCTCTTCTTCTAGTTTGACAGCCAGTTTACAGCACTTGTAAATCTGATTAAAGACAAATGGAACACTTGTCTTTCACTCTCTTCCTGCCTTCTGGGAGGAGAGGAAATAAAGAGGGCAAAGAGGCTTTGAATGTTTCATTAAAAAAAAAAAATCTGTTCAAATTCACTTGAGGTCTAAATTCAGTTAATAAGGTCACCAGCAGAAGAGTGACCTGCCTGCTTTGCTCAATATCATGGAAGAAAAGTATGATCTTTGCTCCATGGAATGGTTTTGGAGGCTGTTGGAAGAAAGTAGAGGCAAACTCACCAATTCTAGAATGTTTAGGAAGTCCGTAAATGAGAATGAAGAGAAGTCAGCTGCAAAGAAGCAGCTTTGGATTTAATTAATTTTTTGAATAGGTTACATGTACTTATAAAATTTGAAATGTGCATCAAGCAGAGTGTATAGTGAAAAATAAGTTTCCTTTTACCCCTTCCTGTCTCAGAAGCAACGACTATTATCAGTTTCTTGTGTATCCTTCTAGAGATAGTCTATGAACATACAAGCAGACATATATACACATACGTAACACAAACAGGAGCATCTTGTACACAGTTTTTAACCCGAAGATGCTTCCAAATCAGCAGTAACAGATCTGCCTCCCTTTTACTAACTGCTGAATAATATTTTATAGTAGGATGTACAACAATCTGTTTGTTCTTCCTTCTGTTGTTTCCAGTTTCATTATTATAGACAAGTGAATGATCTTGAATGTATAACAGTTTGCACATGTTATAATAGACTGTAGGGTACATTTCTAGGCTAGCCATTGCTCAGCCAAAGGGTAAGCACCTTTTCATTATGATAGTTTGGCCAAATTTCCTCCCAACGGCATTATACAATTTACACTCCCACAAGCAATACACAAGCATGACTATTTCCACAAACTCTCACAAACACAGTATCTTATCAACCTAAAACTATATATTATACACATACATATTACATGTTTTAATAGACATACAACATATGAAGAAAAGTATACAAATATGAACTGTGCCAATTGATGAGTTATATCAAAGTGAGCACACATGTATAACTACCATCCAGACCAAGAACTAGAGCATGACCAGCACCCCCAGTAATCCCTCGTCATGCCTCATATATATATATATATATATATTATATAGAGGTACGCGGGCCTCTCACTGTTGTGGCCTCTCCCACAGGCTCCAGATGCGCAGGCTCAGCGGCCATGGCTCACGGGCCCAGCCGCTCCGCGGCACGTGGGATCTTCCCGGACCGGGGCACGAACCCGTGTCCCCTGCATCGGCAGGCGGACTCTCAACCACTGCGCCACCAGGGAAGCCCCTAGATGTATATTTTTGCAGAAGAAGAATGAGGAGAGTTCAAACCTCCCGTTCGCTTTTGATTAGAATACACAAATAAAAATAGATCAGCAGAAAGTGTAAACACTCCATCCTCAGTGTGAAACAAGCATTAATTAAGATGTGATCCCAGTATGTGCAAGGCCCTGTGCTGAGAACAGAATGACCACAGGAAAGAAAGGACAACAACGTCTTTCTTCTGCACCCAAGAAGACCACAGTTTTGTTGAGAGAAGACAGTTGTGCACAAAACAGAGCAAAGGCAGCACCAGGGTAAGAGTGCAACATGCTGTTGGTGTGTCAGGAGAGGAAGACCCTGTATTTCAAATAATAAGTTCTGTAATCATATACTATAAAATACAGCGCTCAGCATCATGACTGTTTAAAGCATGCTTATATACATAATAGGATTCACCAGGGACAGAACTGGAATTACCAAGGTATATCACCTGGTATTCCCAAACTTGTGGACAAAGTGGACAAAGCAAGATGCAGAACAGAGTGTGCAAGTGTTAACTGAGTGTGGGAAGGGGACTGAGGGGTCTGAGATGATGTTTTTACTACTTATATTTTTAATCATAGGAATGTCTTTATTGGGGTTAAAAAGAAAGTATGAATGCATTTTAAAAGAATATAGGGCAGCCTAGGTGGAGTATCTGGTGGGACAGGAGGGATGGTAGGGACTGAGAAACCAAGAGAAGAGATACAGGCCCCAGACATCTTAGAAGGAGAGAAGA